AATATATTTTAGTTCGAATTTATATCAAGATAGAATAATTAATAAAAATTCTGATCTGTGTGTATATGAGCAAAACTCCATTTCCGCTAATATAATCATTACATAAACTGGCCAAATTTTTTAATATTAAAAGAATTTAAACTTACTTTATTAGCCCATCAGAATTCTATACAACGTACTTGGGTATTGCCTATAGTTGCCGTCCAAATAGCTATAACTATTGGGGGTTTCAGAATTAACTTTTTTTCAAAATAAGCGCCGCTTATTTATCTGAAATCAGACGTCGAATCATTAATTCTGAAACCCCCATTGGCCCAAATTGGTTATATCTGAAATTTTGTCCCAAATCCCGATTCATACAGTAAGTTTGGAACAAGTTCGACGGGTTTAACTAGTTCTAAATAATGGTTAAGTCCCAAACTAGTTAGGTTTGGACGGAAACTATAGTGTTGCCTCAAAATAATGACCGCGTAAGTACTATATACAAAGTCTATGACACGGTATTAACAAATAACTATTTAAAAGTACTCAACTAACTTCAATACCTGACACTTGTTCAATTCTCGACCTTCTGCAAATCTTCCCCTTCTTCTAATCTTAACACTCGTGTTTTACCAATTTTTAGTTAGAATTTAAATCCTTGAAAAAGACCCTTTAAATAAATAAGCTTACGTTGTGATCACTTTTTTCCATAGTCGCCAATACACAAATAATTTAAAAGCTAGTACTTAACCATGTAGACTTTCAATCAACATGTCTTCCGACCTTTCCGACATTATCAAGGCCGTTAAAAATTTCGTTTCTCATTTAGTTTTCTAAACTTTTGCATCTAATTGCATCTCTCTTTAAGAAAAAATAGGTTTAAAGGTAAAAAATCGGCTACTAAAGCTTGTTGTTTTATTACGTATTACAAAAAAAAAATTTATAAGGCGTGACGATTTTTACTAATTAAAGTACTCTAAAAATTACAATTGACTGTATAAAAAAATGATCGTCGCCAATCATATTTATTCTAATTTCAGCCAATAAAAACGAACTTCTGCTATGCTGCTTACTAAACATATTATTATATTTGCAAAATTTTAGATAACTATTAAATAAATATTATTTATAAATATATTTATGTATAAATTATAACTATGTAAGTCTACATTGGGTTTATAGACCTATGTATAATTTTTAAATAGAATATACATAAAACATTTACATAACTCTACATAAAATATTTACATAACTCTACATAAAAACAGCTTCCTGATGTAGATGAAATACAGTAAATGGTGATAATTTATTAATTGAAGAAATTTTCGACCTTGTATATAGCCAATACAGATAGTAATAGTAATAAATAACAAAATCTTCGTTTCTAGGTGAAGTCCTTGGGGTTGTTGATTATTTTTGACTATTTTTGCACAGTGAATATAGACGTTCTTTCGACGCTTGAAATGGCCTTTACATCGATCTTTTGTCAGTGAAACGTTACGCTCTCAAAAAGCACTTTAACCTTTAACCCATATAAACAAATTACCCGGGCATCAGCCAATCATACAGATGTCCTCCTATGATATCAGCACCCTAAAAAAGTTCCATATTTCAAGATCAGGTATAACAAATAACGCGAAAGAAAAGCAAAAAACCAAAAAATCGCTCATAAATTAATATTTTACCTATGGAACTACCTTCTGCGCACTAACAAGAAGCTTTATTGCGAAATTCCCTATTTTCGATAGCTTTTTTACTTTATAGTGACATCAGTTTTGCAAATGTAATTGATTCTCTGTATAAATAATCTTGATTTTGAAAGTGTCGAGGATTTATTATTATTATTATTATTAACATATTTCTTTTTGCAAAGTAAAAATTGGTACATGTAAAGTCGCAATTTTTTATACATTACATTTAAAATCATAAGCAATATCAGAATTTTTCAGAACAAGGATTATCAAAGAGAATGTAGAAGATAATTTTAGATCAATGTATTTTGAGACTGAAGAGGAGGGATCGTTATTAGAATGTTTAAAGTACTATCACGAAAACAATGTCTTAGTTACAAGAGAAAAACGACAATTTTAGATAATCCTAATATCTTGATTTTATCTCAAAAATATATCTGGACATAAAAGAAAAGTTCAAAATCGCCAAAAGAATTAAGAGTAGACATAATGCTTTGACTTTAGTACAATACACACGGGCCTATTTATAAATAAACTCTATCAATTCATAAGATTATTGTAGAAATTTTAATAATGCTAAAAATGAAACAGAAATCGATGAATTTTGGTTATCGATTTTACTTTCTGATATCCTTAGAATTAGAAGCCAATTTATATTCACATATAAATTCTCCTCTTAACCGATTCCTAGAAAAATGTAAAGGTTTGTCAAGCGAATATATCAAACTATGTTACATGAAGTATACATAATTTCATCATCTTTACAATTTCATCTTTACAATTTCATCTTTACAATTGTATCTCTATAATCGACAATCTTAATTTATTCACAAAATGTATCGTAGAAATATCCTTTATCTAAAGAAAATGTTTTGGATTCACCGATGCAACCTGTGAAAAATTTTGTCGCCCGACAAGTCTCCAAAATCATTTGTATAAACCGCAGTTTGTCATCGATCGATTTTATTTTAGATTTTTTAATGATTAATCTTATTAAACTTACCAGCTTTATTTGTACCTTATTAAAAGGAATTAGCCTATGTTAATTGTAATACCGTGTGAAAAAAAGTGTAGATGTTTAAAAGTAATTAAATTACTGTGATTTTATTATTACAAATACTTGTGCTAATTTAGCTTATTATATCGTTCGTTTAATATTTTCCTATTCGAAGTGATTTGGAATCGATTTCATGTTTCATGTATTAAAACCTATTTGAACTTTAGATAGGTGACTCAGAATTAACTTTTTACGAAAATAAGTGGAAGTCTAAAAAATTTTATTTCTGTTTTGAAATTCCGAAATCAGAGAATTTTTCTGATGATATATTACATATATATATAAAAAAAAAAATATTTAAGAATTTATAGAAACTTATTTCGAAATTCAAGCATTTCACAAATTATTAATAGTTTCTATCTAGAATAGGATTGCCAATCCTGGAATCGATAAACTGCCGGTTTTTTGTAATAAGTCCAGGACCGTCCCATCAAATCCTAGGGTCGGACCGGGCACACAATTTAACATCCCTAACATCCCTATTTGAGTCTAAATTATGGAAAATTACGGAATTTGTCAGAAATTCGGAAATTTGCATGCTGGAAGAAACTACAGTATTATCGCATTAAAATTTCAATCCTTAAATTACGTTGCCGCAAATTATAATAAATCTATGTGGGCCTTATGGTTTAAGCTTATCGAGAGCTCAAGAGTTATTAAAGTTCTAAAATTTTAAGAACATTCAAAAACTTAAGGCAAATCAGCCTAAAAATGCCACCATTTTATAATCAATAAGATTCAAAATTTCAGATTATTGTTCTTCATTTTACTGATGCTTTTGCTTCTTCTGATCCAACAAGAGAATTCTATTCAAAATTGCAATTTCATTGTAGTTTGTTCCTGTAAAGTGCTTCTTCTAACGTTTTTTCTCTTTCAGATCCAATATCATTATCCCCATAAGACAAATAAGTTAGCGTGATGTTATTACAAAGTGCATCCGCTAATGCTTTTCCTCCTGCTGGTCCAAGATTATTATTCCAAAGAGACAAAGAAGTTAAGGTGGTGTTCTGACAAAGTGCATTTGCTAATATTTTTCCACCTTCTGATCCAAGATTGTTTTCATCAAGAACCAAATTAGTCAGTGTAGTGTTCTTGCAAAGTCCTTCTACTAATACTTCTACACCTTCTGATCCAAGATTATTATCTTCAAGATCTAAAGAAGTCAGCATGGTGTTTTTGCAGAGTGCATTTGCGAAGGCTTCTCCTATTTTTGATCCAAGCTCATTTTTTTGGAGATTCAAATCTTTTAGGGTATTGTTCTTGCAAAGTGAATCAGCTATAGCTTTTCCTCCTTCTAGTCCAAGATTATTAAAATTAAGACACAAATTTTTTAAAGTATTGTTCTTGTAAAGCGCATTCGCTAATGCTTTTCCTCCTTCTGATCCAATTCCACATTCGAAAAGTTCCAAACAAGTCAACGCAGAGTTCTTACAAAGCGCATTTGCTAATGCTTTTACCCCCTCTAATCCAAATTGATTTTCGTTAAGACATAGATAAGTCAACGTGATATTATTGCAAAGTGCATTTGCTAATTCTTTTATTCCTTCCGATTCAAGATTATTCCCAGCAATACTCAAAGAAGTCAGAGTGGTGTTCTCACAAAGTGCGCTTGCTAATGCTTTTACACCCTCTGATCCAAGTTTATTATAACTAAGATACAAAGAAGTCAGTGTGGTATTCTTGCGAAGTGTATTTGCAAATGCTTCGCCTTCTTTTAATTTAAGTCCATTTCCACTGAGATTCAATTCAGTCAGTGTGGTGTTCTTGCAAAGTGCATTTGCGAATGCTTTTCCACCTTCTGATCCAAGATTATTGTCCCAAAGACTCAAAGAAGTCAGAGTAGTATTCTTGCAAAGTGCATCTGCTAATACTTTTCCTTCTAATGATCCAAGATTATTATCAGTAAGATCTAAAGAGGTCAGCGCGGTGTTCTTGCAAAGTGCATTTGCTAATGCCATTCCACCTTCCAGTCCAATATTATTATGCCAAAGATTCAGAGAAGTTAATGTGACGTTATTGCAAAGTGCATTTGCCAATGCTTCTATTCCTTCCGTTCCAAGGTTATTATTCCAAAGATCCAAAGAAGTTAGCGTGATGTTTTTGCAAAGTGCATCTGCTAATGATTTCCCCCCTATTGGCCCAAAATTATTAAAACTAAGTTCCAAAGAAGTTAGTGTGTTGTTCTTGCAAAGTAAATTTGCAAATGCTTCTCCACATTCTGATCCAAGTTTATTACTTCTAAGATCTAAAGAAGTTAATGTGGTGTTCTCACAAAGTGCATTGGTTAATGCTTTTCCACCTTCTGATCCAAGATCATTACGATCGAGATCCAAAGAAGTCACCGTAGAATTCTTGCGAAGTACTTTTATTAAATCGTTTAACTTTTCCAACCCACATTTTCTAGAAAGGACCCACGTTGAAGCAATTTTTAAATCTTCCGCATTACATGGATGGTTCTTGATGATTTCTTCAAAAAGTTCTAACGCTTCGAGAAATTTGCCTTGACTAAGATATTGACGTGCTTCCTTTTTAATATTCATATTCTCAAGAATATTATTGTCTTGTGTTGAGTGTTTGAATTTACTGTATCAGGTAAATATAGTCGAAATGAAGTACGTATGTATGTAGCAGTTTCAAATAAATTTAAGCGTACATTTGTATTGTCCTGAGAACTTTTGAGAGAAATTTTCGCTATTTTTGGATTGATTTTAATTTATTAAAAACTGATTTAAACCTGATTATCAATGAAGTGACGTGTGATGCTATTATTATTTCGAGATCAGATGACCTTAAGGGCGGTTACATAATTCAGTAATTGTGTTATTGTTTCTTAAAAAAATTTATTATTGGACAATTGACATTGTATACTCAGGATCGATCGTTATTATCAGCATTAGGCTAGTCATGTAATGACTTAGGTGATAAACTTTGCATAAATAAATTAGAGCGCAAAAATTGTTTCATAGATAAATTTCAGAGTTACAACCCGTAGGAAAAAAAATTATGTTCCTGATAGGATCGAGGTTGTTACGCAAAAATTTTTAATAGATTTATTTTTGTTAATGTCATCATTAACAGTATTGCTTTTATTTTTCTATTACTGTATTAAATATCCTAATGATACGTTCCAAGACTAAATTCGGCAAAGAAGTTCATAAGTTTTTCTCCAGGTTGTAACACGGGGCCTAAACCATGCTATTACGAAGATATACTGGGTTACCCTTTGCTGATTTATTAATTTGTTTCATTTATTGCATGTGCGCGTCCTGAGTCATTTTCAATTGATTGTAACGTTTGAGCGTCATCTCAATCACTCGCCCTTTACATTGGTTGAGGTGCTTTAGAACGACTTAAATAAGTATTTAAAAATATTATTATAAAATTCTTAAAATTTTTATTTTGTTAGATATTAAATTTTAATTCTATATTCATACAAATATTCATAATAAGGAATATTTTCAATTATAGTATCATATACAGATTGGGGGTATTCAATTTCATCCTCTTTTTTTATAATTTTACCAAAGCCGGTGCTTTGTTCAGCGTTTCTATATTTTTATGTAATGTAAAATTAGTAACTATGAATAATATATATATATATAATCAATGTTCTTTTATATATAAATAAAATAAACTTACTTAAGCCAAGAGTTATTGATAAATCCACGCCAAGTCCCCCATTGAACATTCTCAGCTTTCCAATCAAGCATAACATTTTTAAATTTTATTCCAATCATTTCACAATATTTTCTTAAAACTTTTTTTGGCTCTCTTTCTAAATCATCAGCATCTACCAAAACAATCTTTTCATCCGTTACATTCTTAATTAAATCAAAATAATTTTTTAAATTCATTAATCCAGGACTTACTGTCTTAAAACAATTTTTTGATCGATTAAGATATTTTAGATATATTTTATCTGTTTCTAAACAAGCTTTATATAATGATTTTATTGACTTTTCAGGGTTTCGAATTAAGAATGTATGTCTTATTTTTTTAATAATCTCAATAGTTTGCATGGAAGATCCTATAAAAACTCTAAGTGGTTTAGATTGGTCATTTTCATAATAGTATGGATTGAATATATTATTTAAAGTAGAAAAAAATAAAGGTTCAACTGTGGAATTCAAATAACCACATTTAAGTTGTTGTTTTCTATCAGTAAACTCTTGACAAAATGGTTCATGAAAAACATGAAATTCTTTAGATCTTTGACGAAAAGCTCTCTCAAAAGCACTTGATAATGATCTCGGGTGAGCCTATAGTATAATTGGTCTTTTGTCGACTATCTTTTTGCTTAAATTATTCTTCAAAAAAGTTCCAACAGATGAGTTCATAATTTCGACGATGGATTGAATCGATATAATTGTAGTAATTATTCCAAAAATGAGAAAAAATGTAATCGAAAGTTTTATACTCTTTTTTTTCTTTGCGGAATTAATCTAAAAAGCTCTTTTACTCAAATAAATATATATATATATATAAGAAGCCTCCACTGATCACGAGCAATTGTGTAAGGTTTTAATGTTTGATAACAAATGAATTTATTCATATACCTTTAAATCAACATTATATGTGTATATTTCTAATTTAAAAAAATAATCTATCGGGGGGACATTCACATGAGCACTGAACTGATTAATATGACCATATATCGTTGGTCACTGTATATACTGTAGTACCCGGGGTCTTATTCAATAACTCCATTTTTAAAAATTGAATAGTACTCCGTTATCTTGAGATCTAGCGCTTCCAATTTAAATAATTTTGGTACCATACTAGATCTCAAGACATCGGGCGTTCTCAAGCACCTACCTCAATGAATTCAATAAAAATCTGATTGGCTAGTTTGATCAAACAGACCAATCAGTTTCGTTATTGAGTCCATTGAGGTAGGTGCTTGAGGACGCCCAATGTTATAAATCACTGATTTTTTATTAAATCAATTTAAAGCTTTTATTACGTAACGTATTTAGAAGATATATTAAATCGCAATTGCATCAAATATAATATATTACATAATAAAAATCGAATGCTTTAAATCAAAACAAGTATTATAAATTTCTTTTTTATTTGGTTATATTTACCACGCAAGGCTTTGAAATTCAAATAAAATAAAAATAAAAATTTAAGAATACTTAATTCTCTTAATCTGCTAAAAAACAAAATTCTTAAGATGAAAATTTTGATGAAAATTTCGATTATACTATTTGCTACTATATTTTTTGTGGCCACCATCATTGGTATATTTTTTAATTTTTGATCAATCACAATTCGAAGTTTTTTAATATTTTACGTATCAGCTCTTATTTTTTTTTTCATTAACCATCTCATTTAACATTTCATTTAACGTTTATTTAGCTAATGCAATTTGACCTTTGAATAATCAAATAGTCTACACCTGTCGAAACGTGCGATGAGTGGTATAAGTCTAGCTCATTAACTATACATTTATAATAAATTTTGATGTCACTTTTTTATTAATAATAATTTCTATTATATAAATACTCCAACTTATTAGCGAGTGAGTATTTTATGTTTTCTTTTTAAGTTGATATTAATATAACGTCTATCATCTCTAACTTTCTTAATTTATTTTATTACTAGGAGCAAGTAAGTAACTAAGTACATTTGATTTGATTTTATCTTCCTGGCCACTGTTGTAATTTATTGCTCGATATCTGTTTTTCAATAAAAAATGTTTTCGATTTTCAACGTCATTATTATTAATTTTGGTGTCAATTTGCACTTCTGACTCTTAATTTACTGCATTATTAAATTTTCAGCATGTATGTAGTTTCTTTGTTATATTCAATGGTTTACTTGCTAATTTATAATTTGTCATTAACGTTAGCTATTCTTCCTGATATATATTAGAATGTAAATCAAATACTTTCAATTTGAATAATTGCAAGAGCAGTTTTTTTTTAACATTATTGTTTTCTTTCCAAATTAGTGGGTAAATATAATTTTTTCACGTTTGTTATCTTTATATTTTTATTATTTTTGATGCTTAAATTCTATCCTGATTCTTAGCGCGTAAATATTTTTTCAATTTTTTTTTTCTTTGCCGGATTATTATTATTATTTTATTATTAATTTCATATATTTTTACATTACTAGTGGGTGAGTACAGTATATGCTTAAATCCGAAAATAATTAACATTCGTCCAATTTTATAATTTCATTTTTTGTCTAATTTTTGTATTATAGTGGGTAAGTGAGTGCTGCTTAAATTTTGACTTTCATAGTTGCCACTTTAAAGCTAATTAAATTATTATATAATCTTTTAAAAAATAATTAGGGAGTGAGTATATGTTTTTAGGCCTATTGTCACTTATCAACTCTTAGTAACTAACACTAAACTTTGTTACATTATTTAACAATTAGTTAGTAAGTATATAAATTACTGGTTTTTTTTTTAATAAATTACATTTTAAATTTATTTTATTTTATTTTTATTATTATTTTTTTTAGTTAATGGCCAATAATGCGTAAACTTGTCTCAAATTAACTGGTCAAATATTTTTTTCGCATTTTAATTTATCGGTTTTGTGTAGTCATGGTAGTTTAACGTTGCTATAGTAATTTATAAGTAGAGTTCTATTATGATACATATTGTCACCTTTTAGTATATTGACTACCAATAAACGTTGGATTTTTTACACTTTATATATAGTTGTCTTCTTTATGTTTCAAAATTATAAAAGATACAACCTAGTAGAAAAGGATTCGTCAATTATTGTGATGGCTAAATATAACGTAATATTACAATTTTAAGATAAATAGCAAAGTTGAAGTTGGTCATGTATTTCTATTAAAAACGTAATTGTCTTTGTAATGTTTGCTGATTATTTCATTTCTTTATTGTATATATACTGCATAAACAATGAAATATGCAAAAATGTAGTCGACGACTAAGACAGCTACCGAAATGTCGAATTTGCAAATTTGATAAAGGTCAATTTACAGTAGATATTGTAAATATGTTTTATCGTTCAAACAAACAAACAATTTAATATGTAGTTTAATTTGTAATCGATATTTTTATATGTAATAATTTATAAAATATGTAAGGCTAAATTTTAGCAATCGATTTATTACATTACCCATCCCTAATCATTATCGCTAAAATTACTAATCACGTCCAAATCAAAAATTTATCGAATCAGCCAAATAATCATTCGGTCAATTTTTTTTATCAGATGTCATGAAAACAGCTGTAACTAGCTACAGTATATTTACTATCCGGGTGAATTTTTTTAAGCTTTTTAAAAAAATTTTGTTTTTTTATAAATAAAATTTTTTGAAAATAAAATTTAAAGCCGGGTCATTTCTAAAATTTTATGTTACGAGAAGCAAAAAATTATCTTTATATCGCCAGAGAGCAGGTGAGCTTTTATGAATTCATAACACTTGTAAATACTGCTTATTCGACAGCACATGTAAGGCCACGCAAAGTTATTTTTCCGTTTTGCATAACCCGCCGACCAATTGCCCCAATTATTCTATTTTTGCTATCGCTATTTAATTTTTCCGTAAATTTATCCGGTATCACCCGATAGTGAACTTAACTTTCCAGAATAACCTGACAGGTCTGCTAAAAAAAAACAAAATTTCCAAATTTTCTGATTCCATGTTATGCAAAATGAAAAATTAACTTGCTATAAGCATGAATCTATTAATTCATAGTAAAAAAATTTTTTTTAAAAAAAAGTGGCCTAATAACGATAAACCATTTATTACCATACTTAGTAATTCCTTAACTGTTATAGTTTAAAAAACTTGTACTAACAAGTATAAGGCCAAATTAAACAAAAATATATACTTGTATAAATACAGCACCTTACCGTTACTCACAAATACGTACAACGATTAGAACTAAATTTAAAGTCCCATATTCCCATACTCTCCTGAGCCCTTACGCACGACCATTTGAATAATTAAACTGATAACAGAAGGATTAACTCCTTTATGCTCATGGTCTAGAGCTAAAATTCGGTAATAAAAATTGAGAAGTCTCTCCTGGATCGTAACAACGGTGGAAATATAATGGACACCTTTTCTGTTTTGGGTACGTTTTGTACAAAATTTCATGACTATTGCTGTCATATATAATCATCTTCCTTCTCAATTATAAACACACTTGTCTCTTATATCTCCACATGCAAAAATTTGGTTTGATTGTGTTTTTCTTTATATTATTGATGAATCAAGGAATGTGCGAATTGAAACTTCATGCAGATATCCCTTATTCGTCTCATCCTCAGCAAACTCTCGATCTCTATATTCCTACTTTGCATAATGATACCAGTACTAAAGTGCCTACACCAATTGTCATCTTGATTCATGGAGGTGCCTGGGTCACTGGTGACAAAAAAGATCTCGAGTCTCTAGGAAAATTCATATCATCTTCGACAAACTTTGCTGTTGCGCTTATAAACTATAGAATAAGTAAGACACCTGAAATTAAACATCCAGTTCACATAAATGATGTGGCAGCCGCTATATCTTGGATTTATTTGAATAGTGATAAATATAGTTATCGAAATGATAGGATGTACTTAGTTGGGCATAGTATTGGAGCATTCTTATCCGCACAACTTGTTTTCATTCCTGAATATTTAATTAACGCTGCAAATTCTTATTTGAAAAATACTGAAAAAACTAAAGAATTATTTAATTCAATTCGTGGAATTGTCGGTATTGAAGGAATTTATGATATACCATCGTTATTAGAACGTTGGCCTGATTATAAAAAAAAATTTGTTGAACCAGCGTTTGGTACAGATCCAGAAGTTTACAAATCAGCATCTCCACAATATCATTCCTGCAATGATGCAGTTACTACCATACCACCTTATCTGATTATTCATTCTTTAGAAGATGAATTAGTTGATATTGATCAGTCTAATAATTTTTATGAATATGTTAAACAAAATTGTAAAGTAGATGAAGGCTGGGTGAAACTTGAAACTGGAATAAAGGGAACTCATTATGGCATTTTGAAAGAGAAGGAACTTGAGCTGGGAGTTGTGGAATTTATTTTATTACGAGAAGCAAAAATTTAACCTCTTCAACACAATTAGGTTTTATATAAATAAATACCCAACGTATGAATTCATCTACTTTGTTTTTATAAGATTAAATAGTATTTAGTAAATTTCGCTTTTGCAAACGAAATGAATTATAACCATCAAGTAAATACAGTACTAATGAATTTCTGGATCTTGGCATAATTCCAACAATTTTTTTTTACAAAACGCTGTGCCTAGAAAACTTTTCGACTATTAAAACCATTTTAAAATATTATAAATGATGCATCTAAAACCAAACAATCAAAGAAGCAATTGTTAACCTTGTAGTAAAAATATTTTGCACTTTTCGAGATACTCATATATGGATATATATACTGTATATATATTGTTTTTATTTGTTCGCTTATTTTTTTAACTTTTGCTAGTTACTTTTTTTCTTCTCTTTTTACATAATGACAATAAAGTTTATAATCGGTAAAGTCATATCGATGAGAATATAATGTACTTTATTTATAATTTGACAACTGCTTACGTTAATTTTTAATTAACTGTTAATGGAAATTTGAAAGTGACGTCTAACAGATACACATTTGGCAAGACGTTTTTTCGACCATATTTATCCGTGCCAGTAACATTTGAGAAAAACCTATCTAACATATTAAATGCGCTATTTTGAGTGCTAGAAACTAGTATAATAATCTGTAAATAAAAGAAATAAAGGAATTATGATCTATTTTCTGAGCTAAAGACTGGTTTGATAAAAATTTTATGGTTCTAAAGATTGCTTTGGAAAATAATTTATCTTAATCTATTACTTTAAATACCTACGAAAGTATCACAGACCACATATTTCTATATTTTCAAATTCTTAAAGAAACTTTTAAAACCCATTTTTAACTATTATTAGTAAAGAATATGTAATATAAAAAATGATAAAAACACGCGTATCCGATAGTTGTTTATAAAAGTGAAGTTATTAGTTACACCACGCCCCTTTATCAGTTAACTTTATTTTTTCTTCAAGTAAATTTTTTTATATTATTTACGTTAGATAGTGAACTAAGAAATTCAAACCCCGCTCTATCTGTTCTATTTCAATTATCGCTTTTGATATGATACGCCTCTACATCACATCCCTCTTCTCCCTAACACTACTTCATGCTCCAAGCTGAATAATACCTGAGTAAAATCGGAAAGGCTATGCAAAACGACTTCCGGTATGAAATTATTCGTTGACATTTTTCGATAAAATTCTCAACATTTGCTGTCTGCAGACTGCTATAATAGTGAACATGATCGCAAGAACCATTGTTGGTCTTATATCAGTGGACCTTCTATATGCTTTGTACCGAAATAGGCGTAACGAACATCTGTTGAAAAGGGAACTCGGCCTAATGTGAGAGTAACTGAAAACAAGTTGGTTAATAGACCTGAAGTCATAGAACGTTTAAAAAAGGTCATTCAGCCTAATAAGAAACAGCCACTTTATTATATGATCTGCAGAAAACACAGAACAGGGGAAAACTACATTAACTAGAATTACATCAAGAGAAGCAGGGCAGAACGGAAGTCATTTACATTGATGTTTAAATGATTTAGGTGAAGCTTTCGAAAAGACATTAATTTTACAATTTAGAAACATATCTCTTTTATGGGACAATTAATGCGAAAAATATTAGGTAACACGAATTGTAGGTTTTCATTATCACTCTATAACTAATAACACCGTTCTTATTTTTCTTTTTGTAGACAAACCTAAATTTCTGAATGGAAAAGAGCTATGAAAGCCTTCAAGCGTGCTTCTACTACTTATAAAGCAAAGTATGAGATGTTGATTCAGAACAACAGTAGACAATATACAGTAAAGCTGCGTGCTAACAATTTACATATTTAATAGATACCAAAACTCAAACTACAAAGTTTTATGATACGTCCAACGAATTTGAAATTGCTGTGGGTAGCCAACTATCCAACCAGTCATTATCTATGGCAATATTAACCGATTGGTAAATAAGAATCTGGAAGTCCTTGGTGTTCTTCAATATGATGCAAAAGATAATGGCGCCGATTATCAAAATTATATTGCTGAGTTTGTAAGTAATGAAGGTTCAGTCCTTAGAAGAATGGAATGTAAGTATACAGATTATAGATTTTTTATGCTTTCGAAAGATAGCATTATTTACAAGATATGGTTCATATTTTAGTCCGCAGTGCCTGGGAATCCGATTGAAATCGGAGAACTTAGTAAGCAAGAATTAATAAATTATCTAGTTGACAAGCGTAAGGTAAAAAAGAAGGAAGCCAAAAATTATATGAATTGGTTGGTGGGCGTATTCTTGATTTAAGACGTGGTCAAGAATTTGAAAGTATTCATTATTTTGCAAAATGATTCAATGAAACATAACTCAACCAAACTCAGTTGTATCATGAAGTTGAAAGAAAGCGATTAAAGTTTTATTGGACTCTAAAGTGTTGAAATTTACTCAGTTATGGCATTATTCAATAGAAGTAGTTATCAAAGTATTGTAAAAAATATATTTGCATACCATCCAGAAAAGAACGCCGTGAACTTCCAGTCTCAATTGGTAGAATATTATATTCGGATATATTCATTTTTTTACTATTTTATATATTACACTATAAAAGTCTCAGAAATTTACAATACAATACTGATAAATTGATATGACTGAAATCAAATGGTCTAGTAATTCTACAATTTTACATGCATAAAATTGTAGAATTGACGTAATCTGTAGAATTACTAAACTTATTATTGCGTTTTGCATAAAGATGTGACCTTGTGGTTTTCGTGTTGATGATAGCGAGAAATTTTTGAGATTCTAAATTTTTTATGTATTATATTCCAATTAGTAATGTCTATATTTATTGAGTATCTTTAAAATTTTCGGATAATCAAAAATCTGCTAGAATCAGCTGATTTTACATGACAGCATTAAGTTACAGCATTTTACTATATATATATATATATATATTGATTTTTTTTTCTGGATCTCTTGAACCGTTTCTTTGTTGGAAATGTTAATACAGTATGCTGTACAGTGAGCTCAGAAGTACGTATAAAACTGTTACACAAAAACATACCGACAAATTTATAACGATAATATGGAATACATAAGTTTGTAATAATTACAGAATTATATATCATTTAAAATAACAAGGCTACCACAAACAGTAATAGCGATAATTTTAAAAAGACAGTCAACTCTGGATATAATGAACTTCTTTATAACGAATTTGGATATAAAGAACTCAAAATTTTAAAATTTTATAATGGTTCTATAGTTGTTAGACGAAACCTTCTTCACATGATGACGAAAGACGAAACCTAAACCAAATCCCCCAAAACTAAACCTCTGACGAAAGTCGAAACCCCAAATTCTTCTGACGAAAGACGAAACCTTAACTTAAAATGACGAAACTCTAGTGCTACCGCTAAAAAAAAAAAAACGTTATTTTCATTGAATTAACATTCATAATTTATCCAGAGATCAGTATCCGAAATTACATATATGCCAACAAAAATAAACCAGTTCATTTTTTCTGGACAACGCTAGGGTTGTTATAGACCAGTTGAATAACCTTGTCAAAAAGCTATAGTACTCATGAATAACACAAATAATGAATTAAAACATACTGGCACAAAATAAATTTGTAAGATCATAAAGTAAACACCAAGCGATTTCTCACTAGAACTGACATGTAGTGCACTAGTATATAAAATACTCATTTCTAACTCTCTTTAAACAATTCAAGAGCCTATTATAAAATAAAATTTTTTGCAATTTTTATAAATTTCTGTATTTTCTCACCCTTTACAGTTTCATCATTTCGCCATTTAAGATTTTAATTGACGAAACTAGGTTTCACGTTTCGTCAGCGCGAAACCTCGAGGTTTCGTCTAACAACTATAAATGTTTCAGTATAAAAAGAGCTATGATTTCTTAAGAAAATATGGTAAATTTTTATAATAAACTTTTTTCTTTCAGAACTAACAGTTCATTATAGAAAGTGTTGGCTGTATTTATTATTTCAATATTCATTAATGGATAAATTTTATATACAGTATTAAATTTAGTGATTTTTATCATAAAACATCTTAGCAGAACTTGCTAGTCACCATCTCGCCAACAATATACTTCTAGCTAGCACTAGCTATAAATGAGGCCAATCCTAGTTGTTCGCGAAATTGTTTATATTATTTTTTCATTAGATACATACATACATGAAGATATTTATCAATTATTGTAGCATGGTAATAATAAATATAATGCACCCAATTTAATAACCTTCTTTTCTTTGATTTAATAATCTAAACGCCAATATTAAAATAAGCAACAAATTTGTTTAATTATAAGTAAATCAAAATACCACTTACTATCGGGAATTTCAATACCAATGCATCGACTTCCTAAAACATATACACATATTAAAACTACAGTTTGAATCCAACTTAAGAAAATAAATATCATTACCTGCATTTACTATATTGACAGATTCAGAAATTTTTACAATCAATAATATATTACTAACTTTTAAAAATATAAATAAATGTTATTACCTGGTTTAGGAAGTTTTGAAAGATTCAAAAATCGACTGGTATAAATAGCTTGTGGATGTGTCTGATATTTGAATCGTATCGAATTGACTTGATCATACGTTAAGTAACTTTTGTCTAAATCTTTAATATTTTTAACCTGCTGATGTAATTCCGTTTCTTCATCTTTCAAATCTTCAAAAAACTGATTCAGCGTATTAGCTAATGTTCTAGCGGTTGGTCGGTTTTGAGGTTCTGCGTCTAAGCATTTATTCATCAGATCCAAAAGTAATAGAGGAACTTCACATCTAATCTTAGGTCTATAACCAAGGCAAATTTTAATTGCTAAATCCTTATCATGTGGAATATCGTGATATGGAGGATATCCAGTAAAAACCTCGGACATAATTACTCCGAAAGAATGAATATCTGATTTTTGAGTGTATTCCTTTCCATTTGTATGCAATACTTCTGGAGCAATATGGGGAAGCACTCCAAAAACTGCTTTAGTATTTGAGTCTTGTGACACTGGCTTACATAAGCCAAAATCAGTAATGTAAGAACTATACATATTTTTGTTGACTATATTGCCTGAATGAAAATCCTTGTGCACTAAATTTGCTTTATGAATTGTATCAAGTCCATCAGCTATATAATATAAGTTAGCTACTTTAAAAGCCCAATCTAATTCATTATATTCATTGTCTAGTAATTTTCGGAGACTTCCTTCCTTTGCATACTCCATAACCATTGTGTAATTACCATCTTTGGGGTTTTTAGTTATTCCATAAATTGCAATTGCCGAATTGCCCCCATGTTTATGTTGATTTTTAACCTAATAAAATATTAATTAGCCTAATAAGATTACTACACTTTTAATAAACGTAAATTAAAATTCGTACGTACTTCTTCTAAAAATTCTCGTTTTATATCTTTAGAATTATCAAGACTTTTTAAACAAACATCTATTTGCGAGCTTCTCTTCCATTCATTCATCTTCTGATCGAATCCTTTAATATAACCGTCAATCCATACTGCCTTAAAAACAGTGCCAAAACCTCCTTTAGCAAGATACTTTATGTTTGCAAATTTGTTAAAGGGTATCCATTCAATAATGTCTTCAAACATCTCTGCATTAAGTTGTGTTTGTTGAATTAGTTGATCAATGTCATGGTTGTTACTTGTCCAATTATGAATCTTTTTATTAAATCTTAATATTTAAAAAATAATTAGGAGCTATGATTGTAAGAAACAACTAATATCGATATATACTGTCTATTAGAATTAACATGTAATTAATTATTGCATTAGAATTATCAATTTTCTGGTTTACTTTAAAATTCTGTTACTGTACTTACTCGCTATAATGATACAAATGATTTCGATAAGGTTATGTTAGTTTTGTATTGGAATTAACGTGATTTCTATAGTGATTTACTGTAAAAATTTTTACAGACTATTGTGGAGATACAAGTGATTTAGATATGGTTATGTTAATTATTTGAATGAATGTGATTTCTATAGTAATTTACTTTAAAATTCTTACAGACTATTGTGGTGATACGAGTAATTCAGATATGGTTATGTTAATTTTGGAATAAACGCGATTTCTATAGCAATTTACTGTAAAAAATTCTGTTATTGCACTTACGAGCTATAGCGGTACAAGTAATTTCGATATGGTTATGTTAATTCTGTATTAGAATGAACGTGATTTCTATAGTGATCTATAGTAAAAATGCTTACAAATGATTCCGATATGGTTATGTTAGTTTGTATTGGAATGAACGTGATTTCTATAGTGATTTACTGTAAAAAATTCTTACAGACTATACAAGTGATTTCGATATGGTTATGTTAGTTTTGTATTGGAATGAACGTGATTTCCATAGTAATTTACTGTAAAAAATTCTTACTAGCTATAATGATACAAGTGATTCCGATATGGATATGTTTAGTTTTGTATTGGAATGAAGGTGATTTCTATAGTGCTTTACTGTAAAAAATTCTTACCGACTATTGTGGTGATACAAGTGATTTCGATATTTTAGTTTTGTATTGTGATTTTTGTAGTGATTTATTGTTAAAAATTCTGTTATTGTACTTACTCGCTACAGTGATACAAGTGATTTCGATTTGGTTGTTAGTTTTGTATTGGAATGAACGTGACTTCCATAGTGATTTACTGTAAAAAATCTGTTATTGTACTTACTTGCTATAGTGCAGTAGTGATACAAATGATTTCGTATTGGAATGAACGTGATTTCAATAGTGATTTACTGTAAAAAAAGTCTGTTATTGTACTTACGAGCTATAGTGATAAGTGATTTCGATATGGTTATGTTTAATTTTGTATTGGAATAAACGTGATTTCTATAGTGATTTAAAAATTCTTACAGACTATCGTGGTTATACAAGTGATTTAGATATGGTTATATTAGTTTTGTATTGGGATTCAATAGTGATTTATTGCAAAATATTCTTACAGACTATTGTGGTGATACAAGTGATTTCGATATTATATTAGTTTTGTATTGGAATGAACATGATTTCTATGGTATTTACTGTAAAAAATTCTTACCGACTATTGTGGTGATACAAATGATTTCGATATGGTTATGTTAGTTTGTATTGGAAAGAATGTGTGTTTTCTATAGTAGTTTGTTTTAAAATTCTGTTATTGTACTGTACTTACTCGCTATAGTGATACAAGTGATTCAATACGGTTATGTTAGTTTTGTATTGGAATGAACGTGATTTCTCTAGTGATTTACTTACTAGCTATAATGATACAAGTGATTTCATTGGAATGACCGTGATATCTATAATGACTA